GACAGGAGAACCGGCCTGGAGACAGAGGGACCCCGACGGCGCGGCAGGCAGGTCCCAGAACTGTCCCTAGGGGTTCTCCCAGAAGGCACCCTGCCATCTGCGCCAGTGCCACTGCCTCTGATCCTCCTGGACTCTCATCCGGAAGTGGCTTCTGGACCCAGCGAGCATGAAGGTGCCCCAGGATAATTATTTCCCATGGGAGCAGTCAAGAAGGGGCTGCCCCGCCCTCCTCCCAGGCGCAGGCGTGGGCAGTGCTGTCACGTGGGGTGGGGTGGTGCTCCCGGTGGGACACACCCTGAGCCCCTCAATCCTCCACCTACCTGCTGTGAGCAGTGCCCACCGGGACAACTGCCCATTGGGACTAGGTGGGGGTAAGTACGGATGAGCCACGGCTCTGCTGGGCAGCGTGGGGGGGGGGCTGCAGGCAGGGGCCAGGTGTGCTGCTCACACCTGGAGGGCGCCGCTGCTGAGACGGGTTCCCACTGGCCCGCCCGCCACACCCCGGACTGCTATGCCAGCCAGTCCTTATCTGACTTCCCCAGAAGTCGGCCCTGCCCAGAGGCTGGGAGCGTGTTGCTCACCTCCACTGGGCAGAACCCCAGAACCATGCCCTGGGGAAGAGGGGTCTTGTGAGGTGGTGGGGGCCAGCAGCAGGGCTCAGAGAAAGGGCTGGGGCCAAAAGCAGGCCACTCTGACACTGCCCCACACCCACCAGAAAGTGCTGGGTAGAGAAACGAACCTCACCCCAGACTTTGGGCCCAAATAACAAACACATGGGACACATCCCACAGGGGCCAGGCTGTGTGGTCAGCTCAGAACGCAGTGGTATCCCACAGACCAGACGTAGGTTGGAGACCCAGCTGCCCTAGCGTGTGCCAGGCAGACCACCAGGGGAAAGGATTAGACAGGGCAGCAAAGATGTACTGAGGATAGGTGTCCCCTCCTCCAGGAAGCCCTCCGAGACCCACGATCCCTGCTGAGCCCCACTCCTGCCTAGTCTGGGAGGGACTGTGGACCCTGGCGGTAGGCCTGGAGCCCAGGAGTCATGCTCCTGTCCTGCCCTCACCCGCACGCATCACTCAGGTCACTGGACAAGTGTTTATTGAGCACTGCCTGCAGCCAGGTCCTGTGCTAGACACAACCCCCGGTCCTAAGGACCGGCACGCCCCACCCTACAGGGCCTGCACGAGGGGAGGCGGCCGAGGCGGGTCTGTAGCCCAGGCCCAGTGGCAGCTGCGGCCTCTGCTGCGTGGTCTGGGGGACTCGTCACCGTCAGCACTCCTTCCCACTTCCACCGTCGCGGGGAGCGGGGCCAGGCCAGAGCGGGGGGCCCTCGGCAGGGCGCAGAGTCCTCCTGGGCGAGTATCTGGGAGAGTCCCAGCATCAGAGGGCAGCGAGGCCTCACACCCACAGGTCCCCCTTGTCCTCCGCCAGCTGCTCCCCGCAGCCCTTGTCGCCCGCCAGCTGCTCCCCGCGCTCCTCCTCAGGGAACTGGCAGCTGCAGGCGTCCTCGGCCGGCGGTGCCTCCAGGAGCATCTGGGTCTCTGCAGAGGGGCTGTGGTCAGCGGGTCAGCCAGGGGCCCAGCGCCCCCACCCCAGGGCACGACTGACCTGGGAGCCACAGTCGCTGCCTCCTCAGCTGCCAGATGTGCAGGCCGAGCTGGACCACAGCCAGGACCAAGATGCAGGCGGCCACGGCGAGGAGGCTGACACTGAGCAGGCAGTGCCGCTCGGCGGGTGGCGGCAGCAGGTGGCCACACACGGCGTCGTGCGTCCTGTTCCCGGGAAACATGGTGCGGAACCCAGCCTGGGAGCAGCTGGGACACGGACACAGAGCCCTCGTCAGCCCTCGGCCACCCAGCAGCTCCTGCACACCCCTGTCCTCCGCGCTGCGTGGGCGTCACCTGAAGGCCCCACCAGCACTCACTTTGCCCAGGGCTCACAGTGGCCCCCGTGGCCCCCAGAGAAGGTCCCTGCAGCACAGTCGACACAGTCGAAGCCAAACGTGAACTTTCCTGGAGACAAAGGGACAGATGGACGGGCCATGGGGCTGCTGGCTGGGCGTCGGCCCCCACGCGCATCCACTGGACAGAGGGCTCTGGTGCTCGCATGTCTGGGTCCAGGGCAGGCGTCAGTGGGAGAGGAAGCCTTGGGGGAACCAGAGGCTGTGACCTTGGGCTGTGTGGAGGGTCCCTGGGGGCCGTGGGGAGGACAGCGTGGGGCGGGGGCAGGCAGAGGGGTGGGGACAGGCAGAGGGGTGGGGACAGAGGCTGAGTAAGAGGCACCGGCAGGCCTCACGCTGGGCCGGCTTGGTCTGGTAGGCTGCCGGGCAAGAGGCCATGAGGGTCCAGAGGGAGGGGTGAGGGCCTTGGGGGAACCAGAGGCTGTGACCTTGGGCTGTGTGGAGGGTCCCTGGGGGCCGTGGGGAGGACAGCGTGGGGCGGGGGCAGGCAGAGGGGTGGGGACAGGCAGAGGGGTGGGGACAGAGGCTGAGTAAGAGGCACCGGCAGGCCTCACGCTGGGCCGGCTTGGTCTGGTAGGCTGCCGGGCAAGAGGCCATGAGGGTCCAGAGGGAGGGCTGAGGCAGGTGGCCCAGTTGGCTGGAGACGCTGCCCCTGTCCAACCTGTCTGCACTGCCCCAGCCCCTCCCCTCAGGTGCACGGGCTGGAGCTGCTGCTCATGAAAAGGGGTTGACCCCTGGCTCCCCCATGCAGATGGCCGGTGGGCACTCCCGCTGTCCCTCACAACCAGCCCTGAGGGGCACGAGCACCCTCCTTCGGGATGAGGGCCCAGGCTAAGAGAGAGAAGGACTCACCAAAGGGCCAGGATGGGGCTGGGCACTGAGCAACCGGCAGCTCCTGACCTGATGGATGCCATCTGCCCAGAGGACAAGCCTGTTCCCCTCACAGCAGTTAGCTGCCTTCCACAGCCACAGGCCACCGTCCGCACCCCTGCCCCGTGGGCTCTGGCTCGGCCTGGCTCTCGCGCCGTGACTCACCGTGAGCCCGCACCCGCTGGCCGGGCGGGCAGGGGTGGTGCTTGCAGGACTTGCACTGTGGGTCTCCGCAGTGGAACTCAGGCTGGACGCACACGCAGGTCCCCTCGGGACAGTCCTCGGCTGGGTGAAACAAGCCACCCCTCTCAGGAGCTGGGCCGAGCCCTCCTTCCCCTGGCTCTCGGCCCTCCAAAGGAAGGGGGGTCTGAGGGCAGGGCAGCCCCCAGCCCCGATCCACAGATGGCCCCAGGGGACAGAGGGCACCTGTCTGGGAGCCGGGACCCTGTCTAGGTCCAGGTTCCTCCCTCTGTGTCCCTCCTTCCTGGACTCCCACTTCCTCCACCTACACGGCCTGGCTGTGTCCCCCTACTGCCCTGGGTGGCTTTGACTCAGCATGTGACCAGGAGCTGTCCATGCTGGACACTGGAGTAGCCTGGGGGACCTTCCCCGCTCCGCATGGGCCCCGGCTGTCCCCTTGAGGGAGCCTCCTTGTCCCCACTACCGGCGCCACCTCCAAGACCTAGCAGGGTGACACTCTGGGTAAACTCCTCGGATATCTGTTCCCAAACTGGCACATTCCACCTGTCCCTCACGCACAGCCACAGGTCAGAGGCAGAGGGCAGGACAGAAGGAGCAGCTGCATCCCCAAACTGGGCAGGAAGTAGCCGAGGCGATGGCCAAGGGCTAACGACCCAGTCAGTAGGAGCTGGGACAGCCGCCTCTTCCTCATGGGAACGCAGACCCGTCTTGGGGAAACCTCCCGAACCCCTGGCCCCTGCACTCAGCCTGGCGTGAGCTGGGCGCGCATCCACCTCCCCAGGGATTGCGCCGGTGCTGCGGGCTCCGGACCCGGACAGTTCTCCGACAGCCCCCGCCCCCCGCCGCGT